ATATATATATATATATATATATATATATATATATATATATATATATATATATATATATATATATATATATATATATATATATATATATATATATATATATATATATATATATATATATATATATATATATATATATATATATATATATATATATATATATATATATGTATATATATATATATATATATATATATATATATATATATATATATATATATATATATATATATATATATATATATATATATATATATATATATATGTATATATATATATATATATATATATATATATATATATATATATATATATATATATATATATATATATATATATATATATATATATATATATATATATATATATATATATATATATATATATATATATATATATATATATATATATATATATATATGTATATATATATATATATATATATATATATATATATATATATATATATATATATATATATATATATATATATATATATATATATATATATATATATATATATATATGTATATATATATATATATATATATATATATATATATATATATATATATATATATATATATATATATATATATATATATATATATATATATATATATATATATATATATATATATATATATATATATATATATATATATATATATATATATATATATATATACGTGTATAATAGACGGAAACCGTAAACAAGAATTGTAGATCTCTAAGCGGTTATTATATTATTATATAAATTGTTGTACTTAAAATACTTCCTTAATGCTCATTATTATATAAATTTTTGTACTTAAAATACTTCATTAACGCTAATTATTATAAAAAAAATTGTACTTAAAATATTTCTTTAATGCTAATTATTATATAATTGAACCAAATAGCAATATTTCTGACTATTTTTTATTTACTGTTAATGATATACTCCCGAAAAGAAAAATTGTCAGGGTCTTTAGTTCTTGTCCATAATTAAAAGACCCTGTATATAATTGAAATAAAGGCAATCCTGTCTTTTGCAAATAGCCAGCTCACTATGCACTTTTTCCAAAAATGACTAAAAACAGAAGTTTTTGATCCGAACCTTGGGTGTCTTTTAGTTCAAGAATTTTCTCGATCGTAGAAATGATTTTTTCTTTCTTGCCTTTCCTGTGCTTGTTACATTCCAATTTCTACCTTATGTCATATTTGCATTAAATTAGATAAATTATATGAGTATCCACATTTCTTACCAGACTATAAGTTCGAGAGGTTTCAGGATTTTGCATGACAGTAGGAGTTTTATTTCACTTCCTAAATGCCGTAACTCTTTTGATACCATTCATCATGGTCACGTTTATTGTAAATAAGTCAGCTTTCTATTGTATTATTTGTATCAATACCTCTAGTGAAAGAAGGTTGAGTCCACATTAACTCTCTCTAAATAACGACGACTACTATCCTCATACAACAATGTCTCCCGAAAATTTCATTTCATCTGCATAATGACATTGTTTATATCTTTACTTTTTTTCTTTTCTTCTTTTTTTACCTAAACTAACTGACTTGAAATGCCTATTATTGATATGTTATTATGGTCATGAACTAATGCTTGTCCCAGTTCAAATCATTGATTTAATTACCCTTAAAGCTTAAAGGTTTTCAAACATTAAGGTACGTACGGTAACTTCATTATAAACCCCTAACCAGAATGGAGAGAGAAGAGTTTTATTTGTGTCGTGGTTTAATAAATTAAACTTCGTCTTTTTTTGCTTTTCCAGCCTACCCCACAATACCGAGCTGTCTTCGCGATAATGAATATTCTTATTTTCAAAGAAACTTCTCGGTTATGTTCTGAAGAAGCCAACATGATAATTGCGAAACGTTAGCAAGTTCGATTCATCAACACCTTATGCAGAATGAAATAAGAAGATTTATAAATAGTTAATTCTGGTTCATTACGTCTCAGATCAGTGGCGCCCAATAACCTTCCCCTACTTTCCGATTAACCCAACTCACTTTGGTGTTCGACGAGCTAGAGTACAAATTTGCACGCACCTGGACATCCTTTCTGAAAAATACACATTTTTAAATTTAATTCTATAATATATTTTCTAACTTACAAACAAAGGCGTGGTATAGCTTCCCCTCCCCCTTACGCCACATTTCCTATATATATATATATATATATATATATATATATATATATATATATATATATATATATATATATAATAATGTCATTATGCATTATGCATTATTATAGCGCCTGGATAGGTTTGATGGCTGTGCATAGTGAGCTGGCTATTTGCAAAAGACAGGATTGCCTTTATTTCAATTATATACAGGGTCTTTTAATTATGGACAAGAACTAAAGACCCTGACAATTTTTCTTTTCGGGAGTATATCATTAACAGTAAATAAAAAATAGTCAGAAATATTGCTATTTGGTTCAATTATATAATAATTAGCATTAAAGAAATATTTTAAGTACAAATTTTTTTATAATAATTAGCGTTAATGAAGTAGTTTAAGTACATAAATTTATATAATAATGAGCATTAAGGAAGTATTTTAAGTACAACAATTTATATAATAATATAATAACCGCTTAGAGATCTACAATTCTTGTGTTTATGGTTTCCGTCTATTATACACGTTCCTCAAGATATCCCAATCTAGACGC